TTTGGGTGCCCTGCTTTATACATTCAACTCCCACTGGTTGTCTATTTTACATATGGTAATATATACGTTTCAGTGCTATTCTCTCAAATTTCAGTGCTATCCTCTCCACTGAGTCCAAAAGTCTGTTCTTTACATCTGTGTCTCCTTTGCTGTCCTGCATGTAGGATTGTCAGTACCACCTTTCTAGATTCCATATATGTGTTAATGTGCTATACTTTATCTTTCTCATTCTGACTTACTTCACTCTATATAATAGGTTATAGGTTCACCCACCTCATTAGAACTGACTCAAACATGTTCCTTTTTATAGCTGAATAATATTCCATTGTGCATATTGTCCACAGCTTCCTTTTCCATTCATCTGCCAGTGGACATCTAGGTTGCTTCCTTGTCCTAGCTATCGTAAATAGTGCTGCAATGAACATTAGGGTACATGTGTCTTTTTTAGTTAGGTTTCCTCAGGATATATGCCCAGTATGGGGTTTCTGGGTTATGTGGTAGTTTTATTTCTAGTTTTTAAAGGAAGCTCCATACTTCTCTGCATAGTGGTTCTATCAGTTTGCATTCACACCAACAGTGTAAGAGGGTTCCCTTTTCTCCACAGTTTCTCCAGCTCATCAGTAGCTATGCAGTTAACGTGACTAATAAGGCTTAAAATAAAATATAACTGATACCAGTCAGCCACAGTCAGCAACTACTGATGAACTTTCTTCTTTAGACAAAAAGAGTAGCAATATAATAGCCAGTAGTTTCCATACTATTTACTACGTGCCAGACAGTGTTCTGAATGCTGTCAACAATTTAGCTCATGCAATTCTTAGGACAAATCTGTAGAAAGGTAAAATTGATACCTCATTTCATAGAAGAGAAACAGATGCAGATTTTAAATAACTTGCCCAGTTGGCTCAAACAGTAAGAATTGGAGCTTGGATTTGAACCCAAGCAGTCTTGCTCTCAAGTGCACTTTCCTAACAATTATATAGTATTACTTGTCTTCATTGAATTAATATAGACTTGACCCCAGAAGGGCCCCACTACAATTTATTTGCCTGTCAAATATTTAAAGAAATGAAAGATCATCTGTGGATTTGAAAAGTAGGGTGAATTCATGTAGGCAAATATTAACATTAGAACGTTTACTTGATAAATGCAAATAGTTGAGCAAAACCCATGAGTGATGGTGAGGGAAGCTAGGGTGCTTGTTTCGCATTTCACAAAGTAGAGCAGCCAACCTTGTGTTTGTCTCAAAAGGTGGTTTGTTTAACTTCTCAGAGGAATGGCAGTGAATGTAAATAAAATCAATAACAGTGACTGAATAATCTTAACAGGTGATGGATATCAGCTTTCCTCTGTATGCCTCAGCTTGTCTATTTTATTTCAAGATACGGCATGCATGATTTCTCACTTGGGCTCTGTGCTGTAGTTCTGTGCTTTCGTAATATATGCATCAAACATTTTGAAAGTCTGCCCCAAGAGGCAAAGATCACTTAAATTATGCATTGCCTTGCAAGGTGATGACAGTTTAGACCTGTGTGTATGATTGTCTTTGAAGAATTCCATCCAGGATTGAAAAAAAAAAAAAATAAGTAATTTAAAGAGAGTTCTTTGTGTTTGACAATTGAGAACAAAACTCTTTAGCCCTATGAAATATTACAGTGGGCAAGTAGGGTCCACCTTCTTTATTCAGTATCCAGCACAGCCTCTTATAGTGTTTTCCCCACCAAACCTGGGAATGTCCCCAGACCTAAGATGTTTTGCAAAATCAGAATTGTTATCCTTGCCAATATTTTGTAATCCTATTTATGGTGCATCCAGCCATGATGGAAGTAATTATTAGTATTCAAAGCCTTGTTCTATAAACTTGTAATAGTGTGTTTCATTGTTTGTGGCATTAGCCTTGGGCTGTTAGGCATAATTCTGTTTACTGCTATAAAGTGAGGCTGTCCATCCAGAACATGACAGATAATAAATTTACTGCATCTGCTGAATCAGCTGGGTTTGTGCCATGAATACCACATATCCATTTGCAGAGCTCAGTGGGCTTCTGAGTGAACATCTATATAGGCTTTGACTTGTAGTGTTTAGAACACACTTTATTTAATTTTCCTCAGTTTAATTTATCCATTATGGTTCCTGTTATCTGTAACTTGTATTTGGCTTTATAGGTTGAGATTCCAATTTGTTTTCACCATGGTATAATATATGTGTGAGAACACTTTTTTTTACACTTTAGATCAGGAAATGCAAACACTCTTTTATCTATCCATTGGAGACCAAGAGCACATTTTTCATAAAACAGGATCAAACCATTTTCATAGTCACCAGTTGCGTGTGTGTGTGATTTTTTTCCCCCTACTGTTGAAGTTCTAAACCCCTTATAATAAGCACATGTGGTAGTGTCTTGATTAAAGAATCAGATTTCTTTTATCTTTGGCTTTGCCATATCCATCATATATCTTTCAAGTCTCCCTATTATCAACTTTAACTGGCAAATGAGGCAGAGAAAACGTGGAGGATCTTATAGGCCAGGTTTGGAGAGAAGTCCATCCCTTCTGTCCAGAGTCTTTGGCCAGAGGGTTTCACACTAATGGAGTTCCTGGCTTAGGTTTATTCAAGCATAATTCTATTCTGTGAAAGAGGAGTATGAATCTTCTCAGACACTACCTCTACTGTGTGATATTTGAGAGCTTTTCAGAGCCTCAATTTTTCATATTTAAAATGAAGAATATGTAATTACCTCACAGATTATTATCATTAGATGGGATTATATAAATAAAAATAACATGTGAACTATAAAGTGGTACTCAGGTTTATAGTATTTTATGTTATAATAATTATTATTTTTAATGCTACTAGTGTAAAATAGATTTAAAAGTGCTAAGGAACTAGGCCATATGATAAGCATGGTTCAGTTCAGTTCATTTGCTCAGTCATGTCTGACTTTCTTCGACCTCATGGACACAGCACACAAGACCTCCCTGTCTATCACCAACTCCTGGAGTTTACTCAAATTCATGTCCATTGAGTGAGTGATGCCATCCAAACATCTCATTGTCTATTGTCCCCTTCTCCTCCCGCCTTCAATCTTTCCCCAGCATCAGAGTATTTTCAAATGAGGCAGTTCTTCACATCAGGTGGCCAGAGTATTGGAGTTTCAGTTTCAGCATCAGTCCTTCCTTCCAGTGAATATTCAGGACTGATTTCCTTTAGGATTGACTGGTTAGATCTTCTTGCAGTCCAAGAGACTCTCAAGAGTCTTCTCCAACACCACAGTTCAAAAGCATCCATTCCTTGTCACTCAGTTTTCTTTATAGTCAAACTCTCACATCTACATATGACCACTGGAAAAACCATAGCTTTAACTAGACAGATCTTTGTTGGCAAAGTAATGTCTCTGTTTTCTAATATGCTATCTAGGTTGGTCATAGCTTTTCTTCCAAGGAGCAAGCATCTTTTAACTTCATGGCTGCAGTCACCATCTGCAGTGGTTTTGGAGCCCAAGAAGATAAAGTCAGTCACTGTTTCCACTGTTTCCCCATCTATTTCCCATGAAGTGATGGCACCAGATGCCGTGATCTTAGTTTTCTGAATGTTGAGTTTTAAGTCAACTTTGTCACTCTCTTTCACTTTCATCAAGAGGCTCTTTAGTTCTTCTTCAATTTCTGCCAAAAGGGTGGTGTCTTCTGCATATCTGAAGATGTTGATATTTCTCCTGCCAATCTTGATTCCAGCTTGTGCTTCTTCCAGCCCAGCATTTCTCATGATGTACTCTGCATATAAATTAAATAAGCATGGTGACAATGTACAACCTTGACATACTCCTTTCCCAATTTGGAACCAGTCTGTTGTTTCATGTCCAGTTCTAAGTGTTGCTTCTTGACCTGCATACAGATTTCTCAGGAGGCAGGTCAGGTGGTCTGTTATTCCCATCTCTTTAATAATTTCCCACAGCTTGTTGTGATCCACACAAAGGCTTTGGCATAGTCAGTAAAGCAGAAGTAGATGTTTCTCTAGAACTCTCTTGCTTTTTCAATGATCCAACAAATGTTGGCAATTTGATCTCTGGGTCCTCTGCCTTTCTAAATCCAGTATGAATGTCTGGAAGTTTACAGTTCACGTACTGTTGAAGCACACTATGATAAGCACACTGTCTTTATTTTCAGATTTTTCTTTTTTCTTGAGAGCTTCTTTCATGAATGTGCAGAATATGCCAACATAGCTCACAGAGTCAAATATTACAGAAAGAAACCAGAGTGTAGGGAAACCTATACAGTTGGTTACCATATCTCCAAATCCATTTTCATCCCTTCCTAGAATAGTCTTCTATAATCATTGCATTAATTCAATGGTAAAAATTACAAACCAAAACAGAAAAACCCTAAATTAAGCATTGCACAAAATTGCCTTAAAATAATAATAGCTCCATGTGAAGTGAAGCCAATGTGTAAGATATAAATGGTACCTGGCTTCTGTACTGTGAGAATGCATGTAGGTCAAAAAGCAGGAGGCTTGGAGATCAGAGAAACCTAATTTGGACTTGGCTCTGCATTAACCACTTGCAGGAATCTCAGTAAGTTCACTGTCTGGTCCCCTGTTTTCTTATTTATTTAACAAAGAGAAGGTTTAAAGTTCAACTGCTTTTGGTGGGAATTGAATTTGGTGATTCTAAGATATGAGCTGCAGGGGAGGGTCACTGTGGGGATTTCTCTGTTCTGGCCATTGTCATAGGCATACTCAGCACAGAAATGTTATAGACCTATAAAGTCACACAGCTGATTAGGAATAAAACTGGGACTGGAACCCAGGACTATCTGAATCCAAAGCTCATTCCCATAGTCACTACATTTTATCACCTTTCTGGGCTTGACGCTATGCCTGGCCCATGGTAGCTGCTCAGTAGATCACAGTGATTACTGTTATCTTCATGTTTATGCCTGAGTCAGTTGCTAGGTGATAGTAGGTTTCTGTTCCCATGATCCAGGTATTATTAGGCATGGGCATATCCACAGTGCTAGTGGAGTCTTGACATCTCCACACCCTCTGAGATCATGGCTCTCCTGGCACCCTCTCTTCAGTGATGCCAACTCTTAATGGAGGGAGATCAAGGAAATCTCATTTTATAGATATACAGATGGACAGGTACATACTTCTATATTTGAAGTGGATAAGCAACAGTGGACCTACTATATAGCACATGGAGCTCTGCTCAATATTTTGTAGCAGCCTGGATGGGAAGGGAGTTTGGGGGAGAATGGATACATGTATATTTATGGCTGAGTCCCTTTGCTGTCCACCTGAAACCATCACAACATTGTTAATTGTCCACACTTCAATACAATGTAAGAAGTTTAATAAGAAGAAAAGAAGTTATGTGCCACATCTTTCATCTATAATATCTATTTTCATGTACTTGTAATAGTTTTGTTTTTCTGACTATGAAGTTTGAATAATAAGCTATCTCCTTTTGTAAAATTGCTTATGAGGAACAATAGAACAGACAAGACCATTTTGGAAATGAAGAATGGAGGGTAGTACCTGCTATACACATATTCAAAAAGATAAAAAAAGAAAATCATACCACGATAATTTTAAAAATAGATCAAGGAGATAGAATATAAAGCCTCAAGTGTACAATATATTGTCTTATTAAGGTGGTTTTTCCAATCAATGAAGAAAGGATCAATCATTTGGTATATGCTGCATGGCCATTCAGATGGGAAAAAAAATATATTAGTTCTTTTTTTTTCATCTCACACCATTTAGCAGACACAATTTCGGATGGAGTAAGCATTTAAGTGAATAACATGAAACTACAGAGGAAGCAGAAGACACAGGTAAGTATCTCTTTGACTTCAGGGAAGGAAAATGGTATTCTACACAAAAAAGCAATGAAAGGAACTATAAAGACAGATGGTATATTTGGGTATTTCAATATTAAAAGAAATCTATATGTCAAGAAGCATATTAAAGCTTGAAAGGCAAACACAAAACTAGGGAAAACATTTGCAACATACCCTTTATCTAATTTTCACAATATTCCTGTGAGGTACATAATGTTATCTTCATTTATACATGAGAGAATTAAGACCTAGACACTTTAAGTAATTTAGTAACTTACACAAGATTCCATATGTACCCTTAAAACTGAACTATGACAGCTCTTCACATCACACTTTGCTGCCCAGCTAAGAAGATAACCAGGAGACATAGTGGTAAGAAACATGCCTAATAGAGGAGTCAGAGACTTTTTAAAGGAGTGGAACAGGAATCAGACAGGTGAAGAAATAATTACGATCAATTGTGATTTGTTTTAATAGATGCACAGAAGCTTTGTATAAGGAATGATCACTTCACTTGGGGGTGATTTCAAACAGATCCTTATACTATCTCGATTTTTGAAAAATAAATAGATTCCAGGTACCGTGATGGTCCAAGGTATTCTAGGGAGAAGAAATGATATATTCCACAGCACAGACTTTGCTGAAGCAGCTGGCTATGGTGAAGGGGAAGAGTAGGATGTCTGCAAAGATATAGATGCTGGGGGGAACCTCCACTCCAGAGGAAGACATCATCAGCACCTAGGGGTGACCAGAGAAAGACCAAGTGCCCAGCCAGGAGGAGCCTCAGGCAATCAGGTTTACCAAAGCATTTCTAATGGTGTGAAATGGCAACCCACTCCAGTACTCTTGCCTGGAAAATCCTATGGAGGGAGGAGCCTGGTAGGCTATAATCCATGGGGTTGCAAAGAGTCAGATACGACTGAGCGACTTCACTTTCACTAATTTTTAAAGTTTTTATAATTTTGTTTTTTCATACTAAAAATCGAACTTTCTTTTACTCTAGTTAGGAAAGATTCAAGCAAAAATTCCGAGATGATATTGTCTGAAATTAAATGGGAAAGAAAAACCCAAAACACAATATCCATTTTTTGGAGCTATTTTCTTAATTGAGGTAAAAATGAGAGCTTACCAATATGAACACTCAGCATTTTCAGCAGCATATCTCCAACATGAGAAAACGGAAGGCCCTTAGCCTCCCGAGTTGAGTGTCCGTTTGCCCTAAGTATCTCATAGATTGCTTGTCTAGTCTGCTTGTCTCATGGTAGCCAAAGCACCATTGCCCGTAGCCGTGTCTAGGACTGCTCCTGAAATGGTCCCTTGGCCATACTCCTATACTGTACTCTGAGGTTGCTGAGGCCACTGAAGAATCACCATCTCTTGCTTTTCTCCTGCTGTGATCATGTCACCTGTGTACCACCCTGAGCCACGTCTGCCGTTTCTCTGTTCAGTTTCTCTGGCATGAATGTGAGACTTGACCATGCATCTCTGTGGGCTGTGGATCCTGCCACAACAGGCTGAAGGCTCCTCTGCAGGGTTGCATTGGTCTCTAGTTGGTGTTGCTGCTACTACTACTGCTATAATTATTGTGGTTGTTATCAGAATCACCAGACTAACAGGATTCGGTTGTAAGCAAGTACAAGGGCATGTATGCGTTTACTGCAGACATCCATTAAACACCTACAGTGTATCGAGCATCATTTCAACGGGGATACAATAGTGAGCAAAGCTGACCCAGGCCCTGTCCTCATCCAGAAGTTTATGGTCTAGAAGTCTATCTTCTCTCTCACCTTCAATGCAACTTCCCTCTCTTTGTGTTGAATTCTTTCTCAAGATCTCTGCAGCACCATTGACATTTAGAACCTGCTCCCTGTTTAGGTACCCTGCAGCAGCACCTCCTTGATCCTAGGTGAAGGGAATAACACCTCCCTCAAAATAGCAAACGCTCCTGACAGTCATGATTTTCTGGGAATGTCATTTTGCCTGGGGCCTGGACCATAGCATACATCCATAAAAGTTCCTCTTAGTCCCAACCAGATCCAAGGGGGAACAACTTTGTTTTCATTGGCTCACTTTTATGGTTTTCAGGAGTGTGATACTTAGGGAAGAGACAAGAGATAATTTTAGAAAGAGTGAGAGGAGTTGACAAATGACAAGGTCATTGTTTCCTTTTTCTTAATGGAATCTCACCCTTGTTTCTCCCCAACAGGGGTAGAGGACATCTTTCACCCTTTTTGATATCCCCACATTCTAACTTGTATAAGCCCTCTCCTACAACTGTCTTTTTCTTTGTCCCTCTTGTTAATGTTCTCATCTGTAAAATAGGAACGATGGAAATATTGACTATAAAGTGTAACTTATAGACTGGATTTGGTACATTGGATTACGGAAGCCTATACACAAACTGGTCAAGGGTGCCAGCTTTCAAGATTAGGACTGACTCCATCCTTTGCTCTGAGTGACGTTAGGCAAATCAGTCTCTCTGTGGCTTGTTTCTGTAAAGTAAGGAAAATAATACCCACTCTAAAAGTTGTAATAATGACTTACACATCATGTTTGTGAAATACATGCGTTCTCTGCCGTCTTACACATAGTATGTAGTGACCATGTACAGGCTAGCTGCTGATTATTCAGGGATTATTACATCTTTTCTCCCCTTTGCCTCAGTGGTCCTGCTCACTGGCTCTGCTTTCTCTCCTGTGCAGGGGAAGACTGAACCTAAGATGACACAAAATTAAGAAGCAGGGTGTATTTCCTGGATCTGTATGTTGCAGGATCACGGCACAGTGGGGGATCTGTTGGGGAGCAGGCAGGGTCTCTGGCTGGGCAAGCGGTTTCACGGAGCAACGAGCCTCCACCGAGTGGTCACGGGGGCACTCTGCAGTCTGCCACCCTGGTAGAGTTGTGCCATGGGAAGCGCAGGTGTGGAGCACCAGTGCCCCTTCCCAGGAAGGGTCCACTGTCTTCCCATATACGCATCCCTCAAGCAGTCCTCATCTGTGCTGGATAAGAGATGTTCCTCTCTTCATTTGTCTTACAGATTGCCTGCTGTACATCTCTGCTCTTTCTCACATTGGATGTTGCCAAGTTATGCTTTTGTGTGTGTACTTGAATTGCTGGCTTACACCATTCTCTGCCACCCCTACAGAAACATTTTCCCAGTCTCTGGCTGTAATTTCCTCCCTCCTCGGTGCTCCCTTAGGTCCACATTTTCATCATGGTGTTTGTCGTACCCACTAACACTGACTGTGGATTGAACCCTGCGGAATGTAGGTCCCACAGATTGAGCTATATGAAATTGCTGATAATTTGACCGTTTCATCATTTCACATGATTCAGACCTGTATTTTATCTATTTACTCTATAAACCAGTAGTTAGATGAGACGGAGCAGGGAGAACTTTTTACTCTGTTTTGGCAATGCCAGGTACAGTGCCTGGTGCAGTGCTGATACTTGACTAGTATTATATGAAAGTGCTTAATAGACTGACTATGAAGCTTTATTCAAATGTAAGAGACTTCTGCAGTAAAACCACCAGTTGTATCAGATATTAGCATTAAAATATGACCTACCTTTAGAGGCTGAGTTGGAGATGAAGTGGAAGCCAACATGAGACTTTACATCATCTAAGTTGAAATATTTTCTTGAGCCCATAGTGGTAATTCAGCCACAGTCCTGAGGGATGAGCAGATAACACTTTAGAGAGTACCTTTGCCTTCTTTTACCCTTGCAGTTCTACCTTTATTAGTTTTCTATACTTGTGCTTCAAAATTAAAAAAAAAAAAGTTCCTGCTGCTTACAAGAAATTATAAATTTGCCTTAATAGATGTTGTAGCGCCACTAAAGGATCTCAGACAGGGGAATGTCCTGTTGGGACTTGTAGTTTATGGGGGGTACCCTAGCAGCAAGCATGAGTGATGAAATGGAGAGGTCAAGGCTGGAAGCTGGGAGACCAAAGAGGAGATGATACCAGGGATGATGAGTCACAGAGGAAGCAGCTGAGAAGAGGAGATGGGCTGGAAATACCAAATGGATATTTCATCTCATGGGTGGAGGGGTGGTGGTGAGTAAAACAGGTGGGCTGTACTGATCCCCAAGTTGTGGATGGTTAGGGGACCAAATGGTACAGGCACTTTAGGAAGGGCAGTTTTGGGGAGAAAGATGATGAATTTTATTTTGAGCATATTGAGTGGGAAATATTTTATATAAGTTTGGAGTTGATCTTGCAAGATAGATAGGCTGGTCACTGTCTTTGTTTTTTATTTCCTTATTGATTGATATGGAAATTATCACTCAGGAAATTTGCCTGAATGGCCAGAATGGGGGAAAACAAATCAGGAAGAGGTTGGGCTGCATCTTGAAGGTAGGACCACTACATTCTTTCATCTTTTCTTTGGCTGTCCATCTACTAGAAGGCACTGCTGGATTTTCGGCTTCCCAGCCATACTTGGCCTCCTGGATTGAATGCTCTCAGAAAATGACTACTGAGCACTCCTTTTAGGATTTTAATTAATCTTTAACTGGCTTGCCCTCTGAGTACTTTTTGCTCCTGCTTTGAAATTTTAGACAGATGGCAGGCAGTTATTTCCTCAGCCTTGTCATCTATTCACATGGCAGCTGAAATGCCAAGCACAGACTTGAAGAGGGATGGGATCATAATTCATTATAATTAGTCTTCTTTGATCACTTGTCCTTTGTCCTAAGTACAGGAGCAACATTTAATTGTAGCCGAAGTATTTGTCAAGAACAGCATCCAGACTGTTCTCCCTCTTCCCACAAATGCCAAAGGACACTACTGAAAGGGGAAACTCACATTCCCAATTCTCTTTTGAAATGGCTACTGAGTAGGAGTGGAAACCCTGGGTTTAGAGACAAGGACCTGTGTGGGGGCCTTTCCTTGGGCATGTCAGGTAGTATTGTTAATTAAACAGCACTGTGAGGACTTAGAAAGATAAGGAACTACATAAAATGAGGGCCTGCTGTGTGTTTTATAGAATATCCCAACGCTGACTAGCTGGACAACATCATTAAGTTACCTCCTGGCAAAGCCAGGAGGTAGAACTCCTCATCTGCCTGAATCAGAGCCCATGCCTTTGTACAGTTAGTTCAGCAGCAGCCGCTCAGGGTAGATTGACTTGGCAAACCAATTTAGATAGTAAAAAATAAATAAATAAGATATCATCATATCACTGGGTGAATCTTGTAAAGAGTTGCCCTGAGCGGTGACATTATGAGGAGCCATTGCTGGGTAACTTATTACAAATTAATTCCCTGTCCTGATAAAAAAAAAATTATCAATAAATAATACTATCTGATATCTGTAGTGTGATATAGACTTTAATAGTTAAAATAATTATATGACTTTACTGTCCATCTTTGTTCTCACTCACCTGAGTTTTGTGAATGAGCTGAGGAAAGGGGTATTAGAACCATTTTACAGATAAGAAAATTGAGACTTAAAGGGTGTTATTACCATCAAGGGTCTGGTAGCTTTTAAATCGTCAGATTTTAGACACATAGATTTCGTTGTCCTTCGAAAATAAGATCTAAAACAGCAACAAATATATATGAGGTATTCGTTTCAAGAACATTTTTCTTAGAGTTGACATTCAACTCCAAGTCACACGGTTAGAGTTGCTTCTTCTCACTTTTCAATTTTTGACACTAAGTCATAATTATAGAGCCAGAGAAGCACCCAGTGCATTTGCAGGAGCTAATTGACTAGATGGAGGGAAGGCTGGTTGTGCAGCAGAATCCAAACTACCAATTTAAGGAGAAAGAATCCACGCACACATGATCTCCAGGATATTTATATCATGGGGAACTAAAAGGGCCAGCCTTTGCTGCCACTGTGGAGACAGCCTATAAGTCAAAGGGCCGCAGAGTGGTCACTTTGAGCCCTAGGGCCAGGCTAAGATCACAGCAAGGACCAGGAAGCCCACCCTCTCAGCAGCCTCTCAGGCACTAATGTGAGGTTCAGAGGCTTCCCCACTCTAGGGTAAAATGGAAAAGCTTGGTAAATGAGATTAGATTCAGTGCACAGTGAGAGAGGAAATCAGGCAAACGTGAAACATGAACTACATCCATCAATTAATTGTCAGAAAATAGGGCTCAGAATAGAGTAATGATACTAATAATACTCACTTTTGTACAGTGCTCTAGATGCTACAGAGTTTTTGGCCCTCACATCAGCAGCCACTTAAGAGGCAAAATTATTATCCTCAACTTACAGAGGGTTAAGTGCTGGCCTTACATTCCACTAATCCTGGTGCTGGAGGAGTGAGAGCATGCATCTAGGTTTCTGACTCCTGCTCTCAGCCCCACAGGGCTGCCTAGGTGATGGGGGCTGGGGACAGTGGTGGGGAGCGTCCTGCATTGTGGTTTGTGGTTTATTCTCCTGGGAACCCTTTTAAACTGTTCCTTCTTACTGATGAGTCTTCTTTGCAGTGGCACACAGGAGTGGCCTCAAGGCTAACAATAATGAGCCGTTAACTGAATAGCAGCCCTGGCACAAAGTCACAGCCACCCTAGGGTCTTAATTATGCCCTGGCAGAAGCAGAGAAGGAACGCATTCCTGGGAGATTGCTGGTTGACTAATTAGGTGTCAAGTTAAGAATTTCCCTCTGGGATGTCTCAAGTCAGTCCCATTGTGATTCAAAACATTGTCCAAACTGGGAGTCCCAACTGGGCCAGTTTCTTGGGAGAAGAGAGGACTTGCTTCTTCAAGGACTAGCTCCCTGTAGTAGATTAGTACAGGATTCCTTTATTCTCCCTGGCTAATAGTTTAACTTCAAAAACTTGGCAACTGTGAGTCCAGTGTTTCTGTCCCACTGATAAGAGCTGCAGGACAGCCATGCCTGGGTGCCCAGAGCTGAAAAGCAGTCAGCAGTCCCAGCTCAGCTGTTTCTGCAGCAGATGTTAAACGGTGCTAAGGAAGGAAATAGGATCAAAGACCAGCCTGAGACTCAAGCCCAGCACCTGGGAGAGAGGCTAGAGGACCATTCCAGACTGAGTGAGTGAGTAAAAGTCACTCAGTCGTGGCTGACTCTTTGCAACCACATGGACCATACAGTCCACGAAATTCTCCAGGCCAGAATACTGGAGTGGATAGCCTTTTCCTTCTCCATAGGATCTTCCTAACCCGGGGATCGAACCCAGGTCTCCCATATTGCAGGTGGATTGTTTACCAGCTGAGCCACAAGGGAAGCCCAGTCCAGAATAGGGGTGGGCAGCGCTGAAATCACTTGAACCCTGTGTTAAATGTAACCTCTGTGTTCCACTCAATAGTCATGAGGACAGGGCCTTCATATTAATATTGCTGAGCCCTTATTAATACCTTTAAATGTGCACAATAATTTCCTCCTCTAAGAGAAGTTGTATAGATTAGTTGATATAGAGCATGTGACATAGAGCCATGCACATAATAAGAACTCAGGAACATGACTTGCTTCTGAATCCATCCAGCCTGAGGGGCTTCTCTAAGGGCTGATCATGTCCACCAAGATATACCTCATCTACTCAGAATGGCTGCCCAGGCCCATATATCCCCACTTAGACTGAGGTCCCAACCTGCCTGACTTCATTGGCCCTGCCCACTATTCCATTCCCTTGACCTGCCTTGTTTTTGCCTTCACTGCTCGGCACCTGCCTCTGGCACATCTGTTTGATGCATGATCCAAGCCCTTTATCCTCTGTCTAGTCCTTCTCTTCTCCTCCAATCTCTGTCTCTCCTGTTTGGTACAACAACTCTGACTACCTTTGGAATATCATTCTTTTCAGCTCAAATACCACCCCTTAGATCATGTATGAAGAGATAGAGCCCCCCAGCTCTTCTTCCCTGAAGAAGGTATGCCTCATGAGAAGCACTTGGGTGTGGGGTAAGAGGATCCCTGAAGCTATTCCCAGGTTCCTTTCTTTGACCCTTTGATAGGTTCTGTTGGGAAGAAGTCAGTATCAACATCTACCTTCTAATGGAAGTAGACTCCTCTGATTGTGACCAGCTAGACAAAGGGCTAAATGAGATAGAGAATTATAAGACAAGGCAAGCCAGGCCCTAGAAATAAACTAAAAGGAAACAGGTAGGCAGTAGAG